TGAGGAGTTTGCTGACAACTCTGAGGAGTTTGCTGACAACTCTGAGGAGTTTGCAAACAACTTAGAGCAATTCGTCAACAACTCTAAGAAACTTGTTGACAACACGCACCAGTTCGCCGTCAAAGGTCACACATCAACACTATAGAGAGATCTCCATATTTAGAATGTTTCCCTTCCACGCTAAATAGCAAAGCTAGCGTTTTCAAAGTCGGTCACCCTAAATACCATGTGTGAAAGGGATGTATAATGTATCCGAATAGTTATGGGTAATAGACTTGACTGAAAGAGTGATGCTGCGTTTTTCAAATTTATATCGCTTAGGCAGTGATGAAGAACTAATATTGTCGGTGGATAACTGACGTGCAGTGATTCTCTTTATTGTTGACTCTGCAGGACACGGTGGGAGTAAAGAAAAAGCTGCAGACGAGCCTGAAACCAAAAGAAAACGGAAAAAAGAGAAGAAAAGAAGCAAAGAAAAGAGGAAAAAGAGTAAAGTGAGCGAAGAACTAGAAGAAAAGAAGCACAAGAAACGCAAAAAAGAAAAACACAAGGATAAAACGTGAAGGTTATGGGTGGTTTGGAAGTGAGACGTCTTTTGAAAAAGATATCCGGCGAATGGGGATATTTTAAAGCCAATCGCCAAGTGGCGATAACATGTCGCTTATTTAGTAACATGTGGCCAATCCAAGTGTGCTTATGTGAAGCCACCAGATACGCTCTAAACTAAGGCTTGCTGCCTTCAGCGACAATCGAGGGCAAAAATCGTATGTCTCACCCGTAAGCTGGCGTATTACTATGCCGAGAAAAAAGCAATCACGGGTTGCACGACTATGATCATCGGCTTGATTCACTTCCAGAGAAAACGAAGAAAACACGCATCTGTCAGCAGAAGCCTTTATACAACCTAGAATATGTTATATGCATCTGATGTCAGGAGCCAAAGAAGAGTAGTAGCCGTTGATCTATGGACCATGCATAATGCGTGTTTCCGAAAACATCGGACAAAAAATGCGTAGCCCAGGGAGAAGATAAAACGATATGTGTTCGAGAATCAGCCGGGTCCGCCATAGGAATATCTTTTTTATATTTATATCAATTCAGTGAACAACCACACTTTTTTTTATAACCTCGGCCGTGTTCGCTTGTATAGTCAAAGGAATATTAAGGTAGAACTATAATGAACGTAAAATTTGTCGCATTGAGTTTTTGGGAACAGACATTGAATTTCGGGAAGCGCAGCGGAGACACGTGGTTGTCTGTCTCACTGTCAGAAACCTGGAGGAACCGATGAGAAGCAAGGAAAAACTCATCGCCAAATTGGTGTCAATGTGATTTTATTTCGTTTCATGCATGGTGCTCTAACTCTTTTTTTTCTGTCAGCCTTTACCCTTCTTTTGCCTTTATTTACATATTTTGATTAGAACTTGAATACGTTCTATTTAATTCATAGAGTAATTTTTACTTATTGATGTATTTCTAAGAATAGAAACGACCTAAAGATAGTTGTTTGATCGTCACGTAAACTTATTGCGTTACCCAACAATATAGTGGACAAGTTATCACCGTCTAACAGGTCTCGATGCAACGAAGTCAAACATTTTTCACAGGTCTTCCAGTGTGCCTACGGCGATTTAGTTTTGACTACTCCATAATTACCCTGCGGAGTGAACGTTTTCGCGCAATTTCAATTTCTTCTTCGTTGCTATTTACGCTTGATAATTAATTTACTCGTCACTTGTCATTCACAAGTCATATATTAATATATTCATATATTAATCTTTATCACTGAATATTATGGTCATGTCTAAGGTGATCTTTATCACTTTCAACAAAACCTGAATTCACATCAGTTTTCGTTATGTTTGTCAGTGTTGCATGCGATTGAGCACGTTTGTGCCACGCGGAAACAGGTGCGTTTTGAGTTAATACCACGGGTTGAGTCAGAACAGTTTGTTTATGATGTGTTTTGCGCTCTCAGTCTCTATCTCCTCTTTGCCATCTCAAAGCAGGGTTATTAAAGACGTGTTTTCGTAGATTATTAAACCGGTTATTTTTTATCCTCTTCTTCATGGAAGATGAAGTTGCCTCCTTCGTTTTCAATCCCAATCTCAACCAGCGTCCGAACGGAAGTTTTAGCAGTAGGAGGCGGTGAGGCTAGATCTCCGCTCTCAGCACTGCTTTGATTGTTCTGTACATATAATGACGACCCTGCGATCAGCTTGCAGTTTCTCAAAAATATAGTGCTTCTCGACCGTCTTCTGTGAGGAACTTGTCTAGGATTCACGTAAGCTAATGTACATCCAAGCCCAAGATCCACACATCTAAACAAATATTGAAAAATTAACCATGGCCACGGCTTAGGTATGATGGATTTTTCATTGGAATACATGTTGTGCATGAAAAAAATCGAGTACAACTGTAGCCCAACGCTAAAAAATCCCAATAACACTGTAATGTAAGTTATCTTGACAAGTTTCGCAACATTCGAGGGAGGACTGTCCTTGCTATGAAGGCTTCCAAACCGTCGAACAGACAACCGTGTTTCATGCACAGAGTTGAGAATTATTCTCCCACTGTAGATGAAACTCGCAGACAGAATCAAGCTCAGGAGCATGAAGAACGTCTCGCAAACTATGCTGAATGATCTCCAGTCGGCTGACAGTGATATCACGATTTCTGTGATTAACACAAGTGTGAAGTGGAAAGTAATCACACAACTCACAAACTTCACACTTTGTAGTTTTTCAGGGTACAGGGTAAGCTTCGACAGCTGGAGAAATGCTAAGTGGACCAGGAAAAACGAAGCCGTGATGCACGGAAGCGCAATACCGAATAATGTTCTGGTCAATATGACCGGACAACTCGTCGGCAGAAAGCATTCTTTGGACTCGTATGGGTTGATGAAGAAGAACGCAGCTCTCGAGGAACCAAACAAGAATAGAAGTGAGCTTATCGCCATCGCAAGAAGAGGTTTCCGTCTGTGTTTCCTTTTCGCCAGGTTAATTAGTGACCAAAGAGCGTACAGCGCTATAAGTGCGAAAAGGGACCCAAATCCAGCCCAGTGGAGGTCCCAAACCCATTGCCAGGTTTCTTTTGCTTGGTCCCATTTTGGTAGGGGTTCAAACGCTACTTTTGCAGTAGGTTCCTCGTACGGAATATCTTGGCTTACACTTGATTCAGGCTCGCTAAATGGAGTTGTATTGCTCATCTTGAGTAGGCGGTCAGCTGTGGAAAAGAATTGTGTAAGGAAGAATTAGTACGCGAAATGGAAATGTATAAGGATTGTTCGAAAAATAAAAGGCTTTTTCAAGCATCTTGGAAAACGAATCCTCTTGCGAATATAAAAACTGTACATCAGGGTAGAAAGTATTTCTTGCACTCTCCCCTTTAACATATTCGTAAACGAAAACCCGACCAAAGATTTCGTTGATTATCGATTAATAGTCTTAAATATAACTTAATAGTAACCAGAGTCACAAATCAATAATAAAGTTAAATATCGGCATCAACAAATAATAGAAAACAAATTCAATTCAGGAACTGAAAGCAAGGCTCCACAGTGGATGATAAACTTGGTGACTCTGGCGACCAGAGTCACAGAGGTGACAATTATAGTCGAAACCCTAGAGAAGAATACTTACGTAATAGTTTTGTAAGCTTATCGATTAGCGCAAAATATTCCGGCAAAAGAGCAGGTCAAAATGAAATTGAATGATAGTTATTTGTCTGTTACTATTATTTAAAGAAGCAGGCAAAGGCTCTTCGAACGTGCAGTTCCACCACTGTACACTGACCCCTTACGGCGACGACTAACCAGTTATAAGTTTCATGATAAACCCGCGATATTCAAAGAGGTCGACTGATGATTTCCAACTGAACAACATGATGTTATCATATGCGTCAACATCTAAGATTTTCTGTTAAAACAGTTATTATGTCTAATAGCCCTAAGCACATCACGTTTGAGAGAAGTGATTTGCAATTTTAGTGACACAATTCTACGCAAATCCTAGTACAACAGCTGCCCATTGAAAGTGGGGTTACTCAGAAACATATCATGGATTTATCACTTATTTTCAGCCATCGAGAATGAAAAGCACTCTATTTTATTCGCTAGTAAGTATAAAATATTTGGTTAAAGATTCACAATTTTCACATAATATTTGTTCCAATACGAATTATACGTAAATTTCCGGGCCTCTCTTTGTCAATATAACATTGTAAATTCAAAGATATACATCCACACTTTGACAGTTATGTTGTGGTTCATTTAATTAATTATTTCAGAGAGTAAACATTTTCAGATGTTCCGACGATGAACACTTCCTTAAGATATTGGGTCTCTAAGGAACACTTCTTTAAAATATTGGGTACCTTTTCGGGATGAAGTTCGATTTTTCTTTAAGAAGCCAAAACAGTTCGTGTACAGCCACATGCAGGAGCAAAGTATGCCCTTTCTCCTTATTTTATGCCGTACTCCACCATGAAAACACAAAATACGAGACTCACCCCTTTGCTGTTTCATATCCTTAAAGATGAGCCAATAATAGATTGGGGTTAAAGTGATCTGCTAACAACATATTAAAGAACTATAAGCCACTGTAAACAATGAATCAAACTCCTGAGGCTACAAAAAAAATTGTCTCCGTATTTCCTATGCATCTCCCTTTGGCTATCTTCACGTACAAACTCAAACTAAATTAAATAGGGTCTTATTTTCAGAGAACGTAAGGATTGCTATCAAGTGAACTACAAATACAACTGCGTTCTATTCCATAGTTTTTTAAGAATTACCGAGTATTTCTTAAACCAACAAGAACTTCCATCCTTCCAAACTAAGGTGTGGAATTTATGTAGACTCTATTCACCATTACAGTATTTAATTGTCATTTATTTGCCTACAGCTCAGAGACTTATAAAGTACTGCGGGTATGTTTTTGGTGTTTCCCAGTTCAAAGTTCATGCAGAGCAACACTGCTAATCAAGTTTATCTTTGTTATGTTTCCTTTGCTCCTATCTCTTTCACCACAGCAGGCCGGGAACAATTTAATTACTTTTCTTCTACAAATTAATAAATAGAAAAATGCTGCGATCTGTTGCTTGTCACTTACATTATATTTTACTGACATGTTCCATAACAGCGAATTCTAAATTTTCTTTCCTATATTTAATAGTTAAAACGGTTGTAATAGTTACATTAGTGAGTTTTAAAATCTAAGAGTTTACGTGTACCAGAATAAATATGCTCAGATTTTATTTATTCCCCATATGCCTGAAAGCAAACTTTGTGGAAAAAATAGGAAAAAATCTTCCGATCACAGCTTTTGCAAATATTTTCACTCAGTGAATTTACAGTTGAAAGCAGAGAGATGAAATATTTTCCTTCCATTTGTCGCAAACGTTATCCTTAACCTTACTCTTACCAGGCTTAATTACAGACGTTCGCGTATTTCATATACGTCTGAGTCGGTTCGTCTGTTTTTGCTTTTTGTCTGTCAAACTCACCTTTGTGTATTAATTGCTAAAGTTCTCCAGAACTGAAATCCTTTTGCTGTTTTCACAAGACTAGAAATGTTTAATAAACGACATCATCGTATCCGTTAGTTTCTAGGCAAAATAAATTAAAATGCGTTTCTGTAAAAATTCTGTGAAGGGTATGTTTATTCTACCCTCGCGGAAGAATCCACCTGCTTCTCTTCTCATTCACTAAGTGACAAATCAAGACACCTTACTAGCGGCTTTTCTTATGAAATTTGAAAATGGCGAATGCCAGTAGGAATAAACTTTTCCATATCCGTATGATTATCACCCCAGAAAAACTTATCGCTCTGAATCGGTTTTCTCAGTTTTTACAACCACAACTGTTTTTTTAGTTATTGCTTCGATGATGATGTCTAAAGATACTCAATCATCGCCGATTCAAGGTGGCTCCAAACGTAGTTTAACCACTTATCTTTTTAAAAAATTCGCAGAAAGCTGACGAATTCGTGAAGCTAATTGCAATTTGACTGTAGAAAATAGGTCGTCGCATTTCTGTCGGAATTCAAGGCACATGAGGCTAAAATGAAGGGTGTTTCTAAAGGCATCAAGTGTTACTTTTGGTCTAATATATAAAAAAAATCGATTAAATTAAAAATAAAACAAACTTTCTTAGCGATACTCGGGCTTTTTCTCCATACTGTTGTTGAGAAAACAGCACAAAAGTGCGGTAGCATCAATCTATTATAGAATTCGTGCTTAAAAATAACGAAACTGCTGTTAACCAGGGCAACCCTGAGGACACCCAGAAGTTTAATCATTCAAGAAGGTTTGGAGGAAATGGCCCCATCTTTTGGTAATCTTTCAATTTCCGTGTATGGTACTCACAATTATAAGCACGAATCTCTTTTTTTCTTCAAGTTCTTCTACACCAACAGAAGAGAAACTTCGAATTGAACATTTTGCATCTCTTTTGTTGAAATGTGTACGTGATCCAGCTACTGAACTCATAAAATAGCGAAGTCATCGTTTGTTTCAGTAATGGGCTCTTGTTTGTGTATTACGCTTTTATGTCAGCTTGTTGCTATCCATTCTCAGCCATCCTGATTTTCCCTTGGTTCTCACGAACTAAGCAAATATTTTGTAGTCTCCTTAAATAATAAGTTAGTTTTACATGGTTCAAAAAAAGAAAATAGCAAAAGAATTGTAACTTTGCGCTCTCATCTGTTTTTTTTCACTAAAATAGGATTGAACTGTTTAGGCAATTTAGAGTATCGTTTCGTTACGATGGTAATGACTACT